TCCTGCAGAAGACCAGGGTTCGAATCCCAGCACCCACATGATGATTAACAACTGTCCACAACTCCAGTTCCAGGGGATCCGACACCCTCTTCTGACCTCCATGGGCACTGCACAACATGGGCGCACTTATATGCATACAGACATAACACTCATACACATGAAACAAAAATAAAATAAATTTTTAATATATTAGGAAATGCAAACAACTTCATAGTAAATACGAAATTTAAGTAGGCAAAGGACCTAAATAGGAATTTTTCAAAAGATACACAGATGAACAATAATAAATGGCAAAATGATCAAAATCACTAATCATCAGGGAACTGTAAATCAAAACCTCTAGGTATTGTCACCTCACATTGTCAGGGTGGGTATTAAAAGATGAAAGATAAATGTTGATAAAAATGTGGAGAAAACCTTCTGTGCTGTTTCTGGAATAGAAATTAGTACAGCCATTACAGACAATAGTATAGAAGTTCCTCAAAAACGATCATATAATCTAGCAATCTTGCTATTGGGTATACATCCAAAGAAGAAAACTCAGCATGTACTACTCCCTTTCCCTGTACTCCCATGTTCCCTGCTGCATTACAATAGCTAACACAGGGATGTGGCTTAGTAGTAGAGCATTTGCCTAGCCTGATTAGTCCCTGAGTTCCATCATCACCAAACAAAACAAATAAATGGTACGCCATGTTCATTAGCTCATGCATGGATCAGGAAAGCATAGTACATATACATAATAGAATACTAACCAGCCATTAAAGGGATAAAATTCTGTAAAATACCAAAAAAAATCTGTTTGTGGCAACATGGATGGATCTAGAAGATAGTATGTCAAGTATCACACAATCTGTTTCATATATGGAATCTTAAAAAGTCAAACTCATAAAAAGGGGGTCAAATGATAGTTACCAGAAGCTAGAGAGTATAGGACTTGGGATGATAATGGTCAAATGATACAAAATTCTAATTAGGAGGAAAAAGCTTGAGAATGGAAATATGGTGAATACAGCGTGGTGACTATAGTTAATAACAATATTACATGTACTTGAAAATTGAGTACACTTTAAATGCTACCACTTCAAATAAGAGTATGAACACATGGGGCTGGGAATATAGTAGCAAACAAGCCTAACGAACTGAGTTTGAATTCCCAGAACCCATGTAAAATCCAAAGCAATACATAGCAGCATATGTCTGCAATCCCAGTGTGCTCTATTAAAATACGGGAGATAAAGACAGGAAAATCCCTAGAAGCTTTGCGGGCCAACAAGCCTGGCACAAGCAGTAGTAACAAGAGATGTTATTTCAAGGTGGAAGGTGAAGACTGGCACCCAGTGTTGTCCTCTGCCCAGACACATACATTCCTGCACTCACTCGCATGAATACCACAAAGAGAATCTGAAAGTATTAGCCTGCTTCTTACCATAATAAAATAACCTGAGATGAGCTACTTTATACAGATTTTTTTTCACTTAGTTTTAGAGGCTGAAAGTTCAACTGGTATAAAGCAGCCTTGGCAAAAAGCTACCTGATTGCATCACTTCATGGTACCAAGAGTAAGCCCCTAAGTGCCATGCTTCCTCCAGCAAAACTACATCTCCTAAATCTCCACAGAGTCATCAGTTGGGAACCAAGTGTTCAAATACTTGGGGCTTATGGAGGACATTGTCATTCAAACCACCTGAGTTTGGTTCCCAGCACTCACAGTGGTTGGCTCACAAAGGCCTGTACCTCCAGCTCCATGGTATCCAACAACCTCATCTGGCCTCTATAAAAACTTGCACTTGCGTGAACAACCCCCTCTCTGACACACACACATCTACACATAACTAAAACTAAATCTTTTAAAACTGCAACTGTGATCCAGGTATAGTACAGGCCTGTAATCCCAGCAGTCAGTAGGCTGAGACAGGACGGTTCAAATTCAAGATCAAGATGGGCCTAGGCAACATAGTGATATATTGTCTCAAAAACTAAATAAAAAGACAGGGAGAGAATACTGGACTTCCTAACTGATGACTTATTGTTCACATAACCTGGTCCTTCAGACTAGGTTAATTTGTCCTACCAAAGGACCTTAAAAGAGAAGCGGGCTAAGGACAAAACATAACCCATCATTTACAAAATATCCCACTGGTTACATGGTATGTCCCAATCCCCCTTTCTCTTTCACGGTGTAGAAATGACCTTGACTTAGCTTTCTAGCATTGTTGCCCTAGAAAGCAGAATTTAGACCATCAGCTATATGACCAGGCAAGCCTATTTCTGGTAAAATGTCCTGAACCCAAGTAGGAAGGTCTGTGAATAAACAAATACCGTCTAGGGAACACAACTTGAATTCTGCATGCAGTGTATTTGTCCTTGGCCAGGATTCAGGAATACTATAAATACAGGGACTATTAGGAGTGATCCCTAATAGATTCTGAAGACACACTACCCATTTGTATAGCCTATAGAGACTGCTGTGATAATCCCCAAGCTGGCACTGAGCCCTAAGACCACCCCCTGGCATGTTCCAGCCCTTCAAAGTAAATTAGTATCAGGCATGGTCTTTACAGGTTTGGCTAGTTTTTGTAGTTGAATCTAGAACCAGCTATGTTGCTCATGTGTTCAGTAGTATCTTCAAGAGCAACCCCATTCTACACTACTGCCAAGCAAGCACAGACATGGGTATGCGATAACAGCCAACAAATCAAACCATAGAAAACTGGGTTAAGATCCTTAAAGGGACCACTGAAGTTTCAGACTAAGAATGACAAATGTACAGAGACAATGTTTAGTCATTGTGGAATTGAAAACATTTCTATCATACTTAGATATCTATTTCTCAAAAAGTAGCATGCCATAGTACAGAGGTAGGAGTTTTGGCCAGAAGTCAGATCTGTCATAGTCTGTAAATGCTTCATGGCACTGAACAAGTCGCTTCCCCTATAGACATCGCTATCTTTATACTGTGGGGACGTTTAGTACAAATCAAGGAAAAGAAATCTGAGTACAGGAAAATGTTATATAACAAAACAGCTGGATGAGAAAAACATCAGTTTGACTTGTGTCAGCTTTAAAGGTGCACAAAACACCCATGATCCTGGGCTCTTGTCTGCTAGTCTTAGTTAACAATGCTTTATTCATTTCTCAAAGTATCTTACTATTCATCAGTCTCTGTATGAAACACGCTCTTAACAAAATAGCTGTTAACTTGACAGTAAAATGCCAGAATTTTTGACTCCTTAAGTCCATTTTTGGTAACCTAAATTTAAGAAAAAGCCTTATATAAATAAAAACAAACTGAATTACTTGGGTAAATTTTAGACATCATCCCATATTTAATAATAAAATGACTTTACTGTGTCTCGTAAGATTACTATGAAACCAGTAAAATGTTTAAGAGTATTAGCTTGGCCTAGTGGCTCATGCCTGTAATCTCTATACCTATGTATCTATAAATGTATACATAGAAAAAGAATGGAAGCTGAGCAGAGGGGTGCTGATTAAGGGAGAAGTGGGGCATGGTGGCACACACCTATAATCCTAGTTCTTGAAAGGCTGAATCAGGAAGATCATGAATTTAAGGCCAATCTGGGATCTACAGTGAGTTTCAAGACAACCTAGCTACAGACTGACACTAATCAAGGGAAGTAGAGAGGGAGGAAGAGCAAGATGGAAGGAGACTGGCTGGTTAAGGATTACAAGTAGAACTTAAACATGTTTTTCCCCTAGTTTCCAACTTTTCTCAAATGAACACCCATTTTAGCATGGAAAATGTTTAAATGGAAGTTGCACATCAAGTTTCGTAGCCAATCTTTGGCCCGGATACTTTCTCAGTATATTGTGCTATTAAGCTTGAAGACGTATCAAATCAGGATGGTTACATTATCCTAAAAATGTACGTCATTATAAGAGAAATGATTTGGCAGAGGAAAGATTAAATATCTTTCCTTAACAGGGCCTAATAGTGCTCATGGAACATATTAAATAAATATTTGTTGAATGATTACTTTGATGTGTGTCATATAAGCCATTTTCACTAGAGCTTTGTTTCTTCACATTCCTTACATCACCTAAAAATTCCTATTTGTAGCTTCATGGAATTCTAAGACAAAATAGATGACCAGAGAAAAGAAAAATCATTCCTATAATATTGAGACATTCTGTAACAATATACCTATTATAGTATGGGGAAAATAGCTCAAACTTCAAATTGTAAAATTTTGGAAATTTATGAAAGAAAAACTGAATCAAGGAAGTTTAATAGGGGACTGGAGATGGCTCAGCAGTTAAAAATGGCTGCTTTTGCAGAGAACGTATGTTTGACTCCCAGCACCCACACGGCAACTAACAACTGTCTATATTTCCAGTTCCAGGGGATTCAATGTCCTCTTCTAACCTCCATGGGAAATACATGCATGGATGCACCTACAGATATGCAGCCAAAACACTCATTCACATAAAAATAAATTTTTTTAAAAAGTTCAGTATCTTTCAAATTAAAATCTTGTTTGCTTCTGTGTTCCTTCCAAAAAAGACTTTTCTGTTGTTTATAATATAAGCTCTCAGATTATACTAGTTATGTGCAAGTAAAAAAACTTCACAAATATGTGAAGAGATTCATGTTTTTTAGAAAGATATAATCTCAATATTTTTCTCGTAATAAAAATTATGTTAAAATTCTAACCAGTGAGGTCTAATACCCCAAAATATTAGGATGTGAGTCTTTTAAGGAATGAATACATCATAAGGGCTCTGCCGTCACAAATGGCATTATTGCTCTCATAAAAGGCACAAGGGAGTTCCCTCGTCTCACCATGTAAGGACACAATAAGGTGCTGTTTATGAATCCAAAAGTATCCCTCAGCAGAGGAAAGTACCTCAATTTTGGACTTATCAGTCTCCAGACCCATGGGATACAAATGCTTATTTTAGCTGGTTTATGGTATTTGTTATAGCAGCCCAAACAGATTAAGACAAATAACATGAAAAAAATATGTCATGCCACAGTCTGAACATCACTGTTTTAATAACATGAAATACAAGTACAAGACATTGTACAAGTATACTTTTTACTACATGGAGATGGAATAACACACATGTGTTTTTTTTAACCAGAATTTGTATCGCCAAGTGCTTTTGCCAGAGTACCAATGGCTTTCCACAGAGATTTTACTATTCCTATGCAGTTTTATCATGAATAAAAAAAGCTCACAACTCTTTCAACCAAGGCAGATTTAAATTTATATTAATATTCCTGTTCAAAATGCTTTGGAGAACTGTTAGTAAAACAAAATTACCTTAGCTAAGAGTTTTGAATGGGTAGTGTTATCTCACATTGACCAAAATCTCCCTTATGTTGGCATTGTAAAGATAGTGCACTTATTTAGGGTCAAAAGTGTATGTCAATAGCCCTCACACTGTGTAGGAAAGCAAATGACCATTTTCTGAAAAGTCCAGAATATAAAACCTATTGGTTAAGCAGTAATGTATGAAACCCCATTTACAGAAGACAATAGCAACAAAAGATGATAATGTCCTACAAGAACTAAATAAAAACAACTTTAGAAGTATTGGAACAATCTGTCTTTCCTGCCTTTAAAAGGTTTACCACATCAAGTGAGAGTAGCATTAATCAATAAAGAAAAAGGAAACTGTGCTGGTGTCTAGCATTCAGCCTCCATAGCATTCCTCACAGTTTTTGGCCACTTCAGTTAAGAGTTGTCTTATGACAGATAAAACAAAAGCAGAATTAATCTTGTTGGGAAGTACGAAAAAAAAATACTGTTAATGTCATAAAATATTTGAAAGCAATCTGTTTTCATAAATAAATAAAATGCTGTTTCTTAAGTTTTAATTGTTCTTGCTGTGAGAAAAAAAAGTCACTCAACATTACATCAATCTTTAAGGATAAACATTGGATTATTTAACATAACATGTTTGGAAACCCAAACCACACTTTCAGTCGCCAGAATTATACTTTGTTCTTGGTAGAATCATCTTTGTTTCTTCTTTTTACATCCCAATTATACACCCTGGCCATATCTGCAAGAATTGTCAAAGAAAATGCAAATGCAATTCTAAAGATAACATACGAAATGACTATTTACTCAAATACAATGAACCAAAGACACAAACACAAATACTAGTGACAACTATTGTTGGCAGCCATGTTGCTATACTATCAGCTACTAAGAAAACAGTGGAATTATATTCTACCAAAACCAAATCAAAACTTCCAATTGCTTAGCATATCTAGTGAACTATGGTATTATACATAATACAGTTTTTTGAGACAGCATCTTACCATTGCTCAGGCTGGCCAGGAACTCATAGGCTCAAATGATCCTCCAACCTCAGTATCTGAAACTATAGGTATACACCACTGTGCCTCGCTCAATTTTTTTTTCTATTCTTTTCTTATTTCATCCATGAAATTTCAAAGCTCACTCAACACATATCCTGGCATAAAATATTAAAATTAATAAAATTATCAAAAAATGTTATCTGTTGCCCTTCCTTGGGTTTAACGGACACTTTATTTTACTAAGCATCTACTACGTTTGACTAGGCACTGCAAATCCTTGGCTCGTGGATTTGCAGGAGTCCCTTCCCTCGTGGAGTTTAGATTCAGTAGAACTCACTCTAGCATCTGTATACCTCTCTACTTCTCTAATATACACAGTATATTAGAAATAAATGACATTTCTCTAAGATTCTATGAGTCATCTCAGATGACTTTCTTTTGGTTCCTATAACTAAGTCATTAGAACTCATTTTTCTCTCATAATTAACAGGTTTTCCTTTCCACAAGGTCTGTTCCTCTTAGGTTCTTGAGATCTTAGAGCTGGATCAGGGGTTCATGTCACTTGTCAGATGATGATCCCTGCACTAGGCTTCAAGCAGGCCTATTTTCCTCACCAAGACACTAAGTATCTACTATATGCCACATGATAGAGGAAAGTTCTGCTACACTTGAAGAGCTCAGGAAAATAAGGTACTATGTGCAAAGTTGGGAAACAAAAAGAATCATCCTGACAGATTAGAAACATGTTGAGGAATGATCTGCTGCTTAAACTGAGATATGATGGATAAAGAAATATCCCCAGGTAAAAAAGGGTAAATCATTTCAGGTAGAAGGAACAAACACAGGAAATAAAAAAGCCCTGGGGCATTTGGGGGTAAAGAAAACAATTAGAGTTATTTAGAATCTGCAGTGCACTAGGGAAGAAGCAAGTTAGGAAGTGTTTATAACATGACATGACTCTGGCTGATCTATCAGAGGAGACTGGGGAATAAGTAATACTGAAACATCAAAACCAGAGGACTGAAAATAAGATATGTGACTTGGTAAATTCATGCTGGAGATATTGTGAAGAACCAATCTACTATGCGTACAATCTTAGAGCACCAGAACTACAGCAACAGCATTGTATAGAAAGCTTCATGGGGAAAACATGACAAAAATCCAGTGATTAAATAACTTGGTGAAGAAGAGAGAAGTATGTAAGATGGCTCCCAGGTGTTTGTCTTGACTGTGTGTGACAGCAACAGGAAGAGAGAGATCAGAAAATGTCTTGGGCCGGGCGGGCGTGAAGGTGCACACCTTTAGTCCCAGTACTTGAGAGGCAGAGGCAGGCGGATCTTTCTGAGTTCAATACCAGCCTGGTCTATAGTGAGTTACAGGTCACGTGGGGCTACAGGGAGACCGTCTCAAAAAGACCAAAAAACCAAAGTCTTGGTTAGCTTTAGCTGTCAATTTAACACAGCCTACAGCCATCAATCAGACTAGCCTATGGACATATCTTTGGGGAACTGTCCTCATTGTTAGCTGATATAGAAGGGTCCATTCAATTGTGGGAAGCACCACTCCCTTGGTAGGTGGTCCTGGACTGTGGAAGAAAGGCAGCTAGGCAAGATGAGCAAGGCAACAAGCAGCATTTTTTAATATGGTTTCTGCTTCAAGCTCTTGCCCTGACTTCCTTCAATGGGCTATAACTTGGATATGTAAGCCAAATAAATCCTTTCCTCCCCTAAGTTGCTTCTGATCAGTGTTTTATTCCAGCAACAGAAAGGAAACTAGATCAGAGCGGGAAAGCAAAGAACTTACCATCAGCATTCCTCCTGCCCCCAAAGTTTCCCCCATCTCAGTTCTCTCTACTGATATAAATTCTAAACTCCCTTTAAAAACAGCCTGTTTTACCTTCTAAACAAAGCCTTCCCCATTAATTCCAGCTCACATCTATCATTCCCAAACTTCAAATTACTTTGATACTAAGTACATGAACCTATTTACAGTTCTATGAAGTTATAATGGAACTATATCATACGTGCAATTTTAATATGGAAAGACCTTGGCGTCCCTTTTCCCTCCACCAATTTTCATGCCCCATAAAACTTAGCAGACTTGCAGAAGTCACAAAGATTCTTTTTTTGAGACAGGGTCTCACTCTGGAGACCAGGCTGACCTCAGACTCATGACAATCCTGTTGCTTCAGCCTCCCAACTGCTGAGATTACAAACATGAACCACAGCATCTAACTTATAGAAAACCCTAAACGTCTATGAAATTAAGTTATTTAACTAATTATAAAGGTGTCTTCATAAATATATTTGGGGAAAAAAGAACTTATTCACCAGTGTGAAGCTGCTGTGTCCACATTTCTACATTCCAAATTCATTAATTTATCTGTAAACTTATTCTAGTAAGATACTTATTATCTTGTAAAATCGTAAATTCACATTTGTGTTAAGATCATTCTTCCCATTAAAGCAATAAGAATATTTTTTAATCTTTCTCCATTCTTCCCTTTGCTTTTTTTTTAAAGGATATTGACTTCTGTAGTAGTAAATTGATCTCGAAGAAAGTCAAGGTCTTCCTCAAGAGAATCAAGATTCTTTCTGGCAGTCGATAAATTCTTTTCCAACAGTGCCTGAGCTTCATCAATATCATATTCAAGCATCACATTAGCCTGAAGAGAAAAGTCATAGCAATTAGTCAACCATGCCCATAGTGCTTTCTAGGTTAGGGCAAGTGTCTACAAACTGAAGCCCTTTTGCCAAACCAGTATGCTCTTGTGCTTTCCTGCCACAGCAGAGCACTACAACAAAGACCATGTGGCCTGAAAAATAAAATTATTACTATTTGATCTTTTACAGAAAGCTTGTTGACCCCAGAGTTAAAGAATACACATAGCATACATTATATAATTTAATTCTCCTAACAGTAACTGGTGAGGCAAAAGTTACAGTCTTTAAAGTTAAGAGAACAGAAACTCATTGTGCTCACATAGCTACAAAAGAAATGAGAACCATATAAATGAAGGAATCAAGAACCAGTATTTTTTTAAATATTTTATTTATTATTTTTATTTCATGTGTGAGTGTATTGCCTGCATGTATGTGGGTGCACCCATGTCATGCAATGCCACGGAAGTCAGAAGAGGGCTTTGGATTCCCCTGGAACTGGAGTTAAGGACAGTCTGTAGTAGCCATGTGGTGCTGGAAATCGAACTCAGGTCCTCTGCAAGAGCAGTCAGTGCTCTTAACCACTGAGCCATCTCTCTAGCCCCAAGAACCAATATTCTTAAATACAAAATTTTGTCTTTCTACTTCCTTCATAGGAAAATATATAAAATAGAGTTCTAGCTGAATTCATTTAAATAGCTATTTCTGAGCTTTAGATAAAATAACAAAATTTTTCAAAATGCTTTCATTATCTCCATTTGATTGGGTAAAAAAAAAAAAAAAAAAAGAACTTCTACGAACTGTCCCTACTACTCCCACAGATGAAAGGGGAGAACTGAGGTACTACATCTAAAATTCCAAAGATCTGCTGTTACTAGCAATATTCAGGAATACATATTGGGACATTTCATGTTGTTCTTGTCACAAATGAGGTGACAAATAAATACAACTACTTAAGGACTGAATATAATAATTATTTTCAGCCTATAATAATTACACAACTATGTAGATCAGGCAGACTGGCTCTGATCTCACAGAGAGCCACCTGCCTCTGCCTCCCAAGTGCTGGGATTAAAGGTGTGCACCACACCCAGACTCACACTGCTTATTTTTTACAAGTAAAAGATAGAATACATTTAGGACATTTCATGCACGACAAAAATATTCATCGTTCATTCAGCAAATACTCTATGTGAGATATTTCTGCTTAACTGATTGATTCTCTCCTCAAATACAACTTTCTCAGTCCCTCCACTTGACAGATGTCTCAAGACTGGCACGTTCAAAACATAATTCACAAATTACCCTACAAACCTAGCTCTTCCCTATTCTTCACCCCTCAGTAAATAGCACAGCTACATACATAGTGGCTCAAGTCTTAGGACTCATTCTTGTTTTTTTTTTTCTTTTCCTTAGTCTACATTCTGGCAGTTATGAGGACAAAACAATTCCAGGAACAAGGCTGGGACAACAGGAAACTCTCTAGTAAGAATTACCAAAGGGGCCTATATCATTCCCACATGAGGATGAATTCCAATTGAATCAGATATTTACATGCAAATGATGACACCATAAAAGTACAAGACCAAGTCACAGATAAGTTATTTTTTAACACTGTCATAGTTTTTCTAGAGGCAATGAATAAGGAAAGTACTTTGTAACTAATTTTCCCTAATATAGAGAGCTCTACAAATTTAAGTAAAAGACTAGTAGTCCAACAGGAGACTAGGCAAATGAATACGACATGGTTGCATAGAACTATAATCCCAGGCCTTAGGAAGCAGAAGCAGGAGGATCAGCAGTTCAAGGATACTCTCAGCTACACAGTTTCAAACCAGTCTTTGGTACATGAGACCTTGTCTCTTAAAAAGAACAACAACACCGGGCATGGTGGCGCACGCCTGTATCGCAGCACTTGGGAGGCAGAGGCAGGCAGATCTCTGTGAGTTCGAGGCCAGCCTGGGCTACATAGTGAGTTCCAGGACAGCTGAGGCTACATGGAGACCCTGTTTCAAAAAGACAAAAACAACAACAACAACAAAAACCAAGAACAACAACAACAACAACAAAAACTAGGTAAAAGATATTACCAAAGTTCACTGTAAAAAAAATACAGTGTTAGGCATATAGTTTAGTGGCAGAACATTTGTCTAGCATGCTCAGGATGCTCAGTTCAATCCCAGTACCACAAAAAGAAAAGAAAAAAATGAAGGGAAATAGAAATAGCTCACAAACATTATAGAAAATAAAGTGAAGAAAGTATTGTTCACCTATACACTAACATAGATTAAAAGTCTGAAACATCACAATGCCACGAAGGTGGAAATATAGGCATTAAAATGATGGCAATGAAAATGTATGGTCCTTATAGAAGGTAATTAGGTGATATAAATGAAAATAAGCTCCCTTGAGGTAGCAATTCTGTAGTCACATACACATACACATGCACCACCTGCAACATCAGCACAGAACCCTAAGGTCCATTAACAGAAGACTTGTTTTATTTATTTATTTATTTATTTATTTATTTATTTATTTATGGCATAGCCACATAAAGTAGTTATAAAAGCATAAGAAATAGAAAGAAATATCAATACACAAAATCACAATACACATCGTAAACTGAAAAAGGCAAAAGGCAGAACAGTGTGCCTATGTGCACAGTATGTTACCATGTCTGTAAAAAGAAAGGAAGGAGATAGTCTTGTCCATGTATGTGTAAAATTTCTCTGGAAAGATACCAAGAAATAAGACTGCTGATTACTTAAAAGGAGCATACACTGTGGTAATGAGAAATAGACTTTTCATTGTATGTTTTGGGTAAAGACTTAATGTTTTAATCTTTATCTCTGAGAATGGAAAGTACCAACTAACGGTATTTGGAAGTGGGGCCTTTGAAGGGTAATTAGGTTTATATGAGGCTATGAGAATGGGGCCTTCATGATGGCATTAGTAGCTTGAAGAAGAGAAAGCTATGTTAGTATGCTTTCTAGCTCACCATGTAATGTTCTCTGCCATGTTATGATATAGGCTGTGGCCGTCACCAGATACTGGCACCATGCTCCTAGATTTCCCAACCTCCAGATAGATGACTCAAATGAACTTCAATTTTTTATAAATTACCCAGTCTGTGATATTCAGGTATAGAAAGAGAAAATGGCTAATACAGTGCTTCTGTTTTAATTACCTTTAATAACTCACAAATGTATTAACTATCAAAAAGTATTAAAATACAGCATAACAGCTCATGGCTATTATCCCAGAACTCAGGTGGCTGAGGCAGGAGGATTGCAAACTCAAGTCCAGTCTGTGCTATATAGTAAGACTTTGTCTCAGAAAAGCAAAAGCAAACAGAAAAAGTTCACGCCTATTCCAGTACTCAGAAGGAAGAGGCAAGAGGATCAGGAGTTCATGGTTCTTATAATCCTTTCCCCCTTAAATTTAGAGGAATGTTCTAGAACTATTACATTCTTATAGGCAAAATAACAACCAAAAAAATCATTTATCAGAACTCAGCAGCGCTATTTTACTTCTATTGCTCTTCTTATGTGAATGTGTGTGTGTGTGTGTGTGTGTATGTGTGTAAGTGCAGGCAGAGGACAGAGAACCTTAAGCATCATCCTCAGGAAGGCTGCCCACGTCCTTGGAAACAGTATCTCTCACTGGCCTAGAGCACCCTAATTAGGTCAGTGAATCCCAGGAGTTGTTCTGTCTCTGCCTCCCAAGGGCTGGGATTAACAGTACACATTGTCATCTATTTTTACACGGGTTCTGGAAATTGAACTCGGGTCCTCATGCTTGCAAAGTAAGTGCTTTACCAAGTGAGCCACATATCCCCCAGCTCTCTTTCTTTTGTTATATTTAAAAGAGATAAAACATTAACTAGAAAAGTAGCTGGGTATAGTTACACACCTGTAATCCTGGAAGTTGGTAAGCAGAGGAAGGAGGATTTGTGAGTCTAAGGACAAACAGCTACATAGGAGATCCCATCTCGAAAAACCAAGGACAACAACAACTAGAGGAATAGGTTTGGTCAGTTTTGTCTTGACTGAGAAAGACTTCAACATAAATAATCTTTAAACACTACTAATTCCAGTTGGTTTCTAATAATGACTATTTGAACTATGCACTTTCACTCTTTCTGAAATCAAAGGGAGATAACACATCTCAAACAATACTGTTTTGCTGGTCAAAAAAACACTGGTTTATAAATATGTTAGCTGTGGTTTTAACATTTACTTACCCCCAACCACAGACACACTTTATCAGTAGGAGGAACCGAAGCTTTGCAGTACAAGTTATCTGCCAGTAAGAATCTGGTCTCCATTGAATTGGTGGATTCCTTTATAAAAATGATAGTATCACAAACAGGTTAAGTTGATATAGAGGTTATAAAGGAAGAATCCTATATCTGAACCCAAGACATTTAAAACAGTATCATTAACCAAACTAAATGTAATGGTAAAAGAAACGAATACAAAATAGATGGGTATAGGCTCTGATTATTAGCTGCATTAATTTGGCATGCCATTATTTATTCATGTCTCAGGCTCTTCATGTATAAAATAACAGTCTCTGCATCTTATCTATGAAGACAGTGGTAAACAATGACCACACACACACACACACACACACACACACACACGCCCCTACATGCTTAGCAGAGAGTACTCTAAACAAACTGTGAGAATGAGCTATATAATTGCTACGTTGGTGCTACATGCCCAACAATCCGTTTCTGAAGTCTCTTACAAAGTTGATCACACATAATAAAGTTTTAGAAATGTAGTTCTACCAGTCAGGCAATTAATCCTTTGTGCATAAAATCTTTTTAATATGGTATGTCAATGAAATTTAACCCTTACAACTTGCTTTTATTTAATGAATACTGGATTATGAAAAACTTCGAAGACTCTCAAATTTAGTTCTGCCAGTAAGTAAATTTATGTGGTACTGGTCAAGTATAACAACCCTCTGTAATAGTTTTCTTAACTGGGAAACAAGAACCTGAAACAGTAATCTCGAAGATGATTTCCAACTCTATAAATCTTGAACTCTCTCCTTATTCTTATGAGTATGACAAGAGCCATTAACAAAAAAACATAGCCAGATGTAAGATGTTGTAGTACCTGCCCTTAATCTCAGGACTCAGGAGGCAGAGAAAGGCAGACCTCTATGAGTTCTAGGCCAGCCTGGTCTACATACTGAGTTTCAGGCCAACTGGGGCTACACGGTGAGACTGTTCTCAAAAAACAAACAAACAAAACTCCTAAATGCTACCTTGGAATACAACATTTTTCTAAAAAATATCTAACATCATTTCTGATTACACACAAAGTAATCCATGTAAGGGTCTTAGACTTAAACTTGATTTTAGGGGAAAGCCACAAAGCCACCATTTTAAGAGAAGTTCACTATTTGTTAACATTAATCAAAAACCAGTGACCAAAGAGTCAAGAAAGAACAATCTCTCTGTCAAACAATTCTAGTTTGTTCATATTTGCAAACAAAAACACACTTACTTTTTTCTTCTGCATGTACTTTAGAATTTCCAAAGTCTGCTTAATTTCAGGAATTTGACCTTTCAGCCTATGAGAAAAAGAACAAAGGTTAACATAGTACTTCGCAAGCAAAAATAAACATCAGGACAGTCTTCCCATCTTTGCATACAGATGTATTACTGAAGACTATTCACAAATATAAACTATTTAAGATATTTATAAAAACTATCTTTTTTTTTTTCTTTTCTGTTTTTTGGAGAAAGAGTCTCATTGTATACCACTGGCTGGCCTGGAATTTGCTATATAGGACAGGCTGGCCTCAGAGATCGTTTGCCTCTACTTCCCGAGTGAGTGCTAGATTAAAGACGTGCACTACCATGCCTGGTAAATAAAACAAAATATATTTAATATGCATAGACTATTAAACATACAGACATTTAATTAAAATGTTTACAATGTGAAGCTAGAGAGACGACTCAGAGGTTAAGAGCACTTGCTGCTCTTGAAGACCCAAGTTTGGCTCCCAGCATCTACATGGCAGTTCGCAACCAACTGTAACTCCAGTTACAGGTGATCTATCACCCTCTTCTGACCTCAGAAAACACAGCACACAAATGGTGCACATAGATACATACAGGCAAAACAATTATAAACATAAAAATATATATTTATGATATAATATAAATATATATACAAGACATAATGTACAAAGCCTTATTTTAGGTGTCAAACTCCTTGCTGTTACTTGACATTTCTAGAAAAGACCACATTCTGCATAAGTGAGTCACAGGCTCTGCATTTGGTTAAACTTTCATTTTAAATAGATTAATTTTATAACTAAGTATTAAAACAACACATATTCAGATACATCTCAAATTTGAAAACCTCAATCACCTATCTAGTATTGCATGGGGCTGTTCTAAGTAAGCATACTCTGTACATGTATATCATGATTAGCCAAATATCAGATAAAACACAGTGATATCTTCTCAGTGTATACACTTGTCACATTGTAAAAAATAATAATAATAATATACACACACACACACCAAAAAAAAAAAAAAAATCACCTGAGGACTGAAGAGCATTGGCTGCTCTTGCAGAGGGCTCAGATTCAATTCCCAGTACCCGCCATCTTCAATTCCAGAGGATGTGATACCCTCTTCTGGCCTCATAGGCATAGTACACAAGGGTGCACTTACATACATATGCAAAACATTTATGTAAAATAAATATATAAATATTTTATAAATAAATAAATAAATAAATAAATAAATAATGTGAATGCCCTCTGAATCACCCTGGGTGAATCCCTTTTGTTTCTTTCTCTGGCTAAAATTTGAAGAACTGTGTTGAAAGAGAGTGGCAAGAAAAGATCTTTGTCTTTTCCTTCTCGGCTCATGGCTGTCTTCATTATTATCATTCCAGGGAGTGAGGAGAGCAAAGCTGTTGGGAGCCAGTTCTTGTCATTCTCAACTTGGCCCTCTCTCAGCCTCTTGCTAATGTTTTATTGATAGATGGATAGTAAATACACAGATGATAGGTAGGTAGGTAGGTAGGTAGGTAGGTAGGTAGGTAGATAGATATAGACTCACATAGAAAAGGAGGAAATCAAATTAACGCTGTATATTGAAATGGATGGATGGATGATGGAAGGATGATGTATATAGATAGATGACAGATGATGATGATAGATAGATAGATAGATAGATAGATAGATAGATAGATAGATAGATTCACATAGAAAAGGAGGAAATCAAATTAATCTTGTTTGTAGGTAATATTCTACACCTAGAAAACCCTAAGATCTCTACCAAAAGACTCTTAGAACTGGTAAGTCTATAGCCATCCCACTCTGAACACATGGAATCTCCTCTGAACTGATGAACAAATTTGGCCAAAAAACTATAGCTTTTTCTATACACCAATAATGATTTCACTGAGAAAGAAATCAGAAAATAAATCCTGTTCACAACAGCCTCAAAGAAATAAAACACATTGGAAAAAAAAAAAAACCTGACCCATGAGGCAACAGACTTCTACAATGAAAATTATAAAATACCAGATTTTCATGGATGAGCAGAATTAATATTGTAAAAATGGTTATAATGCCAAAATGATCCATAGATTCTATGCAAATCCCATCAAAATTCCAATAACATTCTTCACAGAAATATAAATTACAATCCTAAAATTTATATGGAAAAAAAAACCCTCAAATGACTGAGGCAATCTTGAACAAAAAGAATAATTCCTCACAAATTCACAAATCATAATAACAAAAAAAATAGCATGGTATCGCACAAAAACAGACATGTAGACCACTAAAAGAACAAACCCACATAGCTGCAACCACCTGATCTTTAACAAAAGTGTCAGAAACATGATGGAGAAAAGACAGCCTCCTGAACAAATGGTGCTGAAAACACTGAACGTCCACATACAGCAGACTAAAATCATACCTCTATCATACTGTGCAAAAGTGAAAACTTAAAAGCATCAAGAGCCTTAAAGTAACAGCTGGCATTCAAAACTACTACAGGAAAACATTAGGAAATATTTCAAGATACTGACATAGGCAATAATTTAATCAATAGGATTCCAGTAACTCAAAAAGTAAAACTGAAAAACAGGATTGTATGAAATTAAAGTGCTCTGCACAACAAAGGAAACAATCAGAAAAATAAAAAGACAGCATACAGAAGGGGGAAAATATTTGCCAACTATTCACCTTCTCAGGGTATTAATTTCTAGAATATATAAAGAACTCAAAAAATAATTCCAAAGAGCAAGTAATCCAATAAATAAATGGACAATGATTTGAGCCTTGTTGGAACCTGTTTCAAAATAAAAAATATAAAGAAGGGCTGGGGATACTCAAAGGTAGAATACTTGTCTAGCACAAATGAGGCCCTAAGTTCAATCCCTAGTATAACAGGAAAAAAAGCCAGACAAGGTGGGACACACTTATACTTCCAGCACTTGTGAGGTGGAGGCAGGAGGATCAGGAACTCAAGGTCATCCTTGGCTATATAAGTAGTTCTATACAGTCTCAGCTACATGAGACCTCAAAAAAAAAAAAAAAAAAAAAAAGAAAGGCCAGGCAGGAAAAAAAGGTACCTGTTGGTAAGACTACAAAATTATATCTTCTATACAAAACAATATAAAGGTATCTCAGAAAACTAAAAATGAAGCCAGAAAAAATGGCTCAGCAGGCAGAATCCCTTGATGCATAAGCCTTACAACCTGAGTTCAATCCCCAGAACAAGATGCAGCCATAAATAAGAATGAAAAGATGTCATTTGCAACATCATTGATGGAACTATAGATCATCATGTTAAACAAAATATACCAGACTGAACTAGAACAGAGACTATTAAGAAAGTGTAGTTGGCAGGAGGGCAAGAGACGACATCAGGGAAGGTGAATATGATCCAAGCACAGTATTTGATGTATGGATATGTCAGAGTAAAAGTCATGAACTTATACAATTTATATGTATTAATAATTATAATAACCATAAAGTTTTTTAAACACAGAAATTGTTACAATTACCTCCTTTTTTTTTGAGCAAGGTTGAGTTCCATAAACTTATACTTCTGGTATTGTTCATCCAGCTTCTTTAATACCGTATCTGCAGTCTCATTCCCAGGCTGCTTCATGAAAGAATCTACATCTTCCTTCAGTAGCAAAGATAATATATTACAAATTTTAGAATACATATAACAAATTTGATTTTGACTATTTTGTTTTTAAAGTGTAAAAGAACTTGATTTCTCTCCAAAGGCTTGTTTTTAACTAAAAATGTAATTATAAAGAGTTAAAGATGGGCTGGAGCTCAGTCAATATAAGGCCCTAGCTCAATCCCAAGTACTGCCAGAAGAAAAGATAGAGTGGACATGGTAGTACAGTCTGTAACCTCAGAACTCAGAAAGTGAAACCAGAAGGATCAGGAGTTCAAGGCCACCCTCAGATATATGGCAAATTTAAGGTCGACGACACTTAACTAAACACCTATTATATTTGCAACACCATAAGCACGCTTTGATTTTCTTAACTGTAAACACTCATTCCTATTTCAGATAAAGAAACAGGCTCAAAGTGGTAAAGTAGTATGTACAAGGATAAGCAGCAATTGGGAAGCAGGGAGGTCAGGGTTGAAATCCTCAGTAATATAGAATTTCACATTGTTTCACTCCTATTCATTTTGGAACATAAAAATAATTGTCGCGGGGTGTGGTGGCGCATGCGTTTAATCCCAGCACTTGGGAGGCAGAGGCAGGCAGATCTCTGTGAGTTCAAGTCCAGTCTGGTGTACAAAGTGAGTTCCAGGCCAGCTGGGGCTACAGGGAGACCCTGTCTCAAAAAGACAAAATAATAATAATAATAATAATAATAATAATAGTGTAAAATTTGAACTGCTTATTGCCCTTACTTCACTAGATTTCTGAATGTTTAGCTGAATATTGTGTCATATAAGGCACAATGGAAATTCAATTATATACATAATTACAGGCTTATGTATCAAGTACTGTGTTGGATCAGGAGCAATAATCCCACAAGAGAACTACCTCACTTTCCTCTTAAGTGCAGAGCATGACAGTAGAGGCTCTGAAGCCCTCCTGACTGCCCACATTCAAATTCTGGATTTTATACCTATGTGATCTGGGGCAAGTTATTCAGGCACAGTTTCTCAATTTCACTATCTACATGTACAAAATGAGAATGACAACAGCAACTTCCCTTCTAGAGTTTTGTAAAATCTCTAAGAAAATGTCTAAACCGCAGCAAATATTATTTCATGTTAAAATCAGTTGAGAGTTATTTTAAAAGGCACAGCTCATTGAGACTACACAAAATAATAATTCAACACCAGCGATCGTAACAAAAAGGTAGAATATACCTTTTGGTACAAACCCAAAGGTCATGGTAAACTTCGTTAGTTTATAGTAAAACTACATGAGGAAAGGCAAATAATGCTGGCCTGGAAAACCAGCTCAAGGTTTTCCTTTAGTTACTCAAATCGTTTTCTAAAATGATTTCTAGAACAGCTTGACGGAAAAAAAAAAAAAGAGTAAAACTTCTACATCTTTCTTTTTGAACTTGAGTTGGTCTCCCTATTAAATGAAATCTCCCAATCGCGTTCCCCACCAAGTCTCAGCACTGTGTACAATTTGTTCTCTATCAAACAGCTTAAACGATGCCATTAAAACCACACATCAAATAACCGGTTAGCACTGCTTAGGGCCTCAGGTGTTTATATCAAAACATACAAGGACTTCACACTACTTTCCAACATCAGTGTCTTCTTCCATTTCCAAGGAAACGGACCAGGACATCTCAAGGATTAGGTGCCACTCCACATCCACACCTTACACTTGTTCTGCCTACTCACTGCATTGTACTGTAAACGTCCAGTTCCTCAGACCCGCTTTTTTGCAGGCCAACAGACACCAGGCAGCAGCCGGACAGTCCCGAACGATGCCGCGAAGGATGCCCCGCCGCAACCCACGTCACGACCGGCTACTGGCCCCCAATCCTCCTCCCCGCGCTTGCTGCTCTTCTAAAGTCTTCTAGGGCTTAAATTCTTCAAGCACTCCGCGCAGGGCCAGGGCGCGGCGGCCAGGTGCTCCATCCCCCGACCCATAGCTCAACTAACAGCCCAGGCTTGGGTGGGGTTGGAAAGCCGTCTTAGACAAAGGTGCCAGGTAACATCGACTCTTACCACAAACACTGCCTCAGGAATCCCCAGGTGGAGCCGCCGCCCACTCCCAGCAGCCGCTTCCATACCACAACCGTCCTTTGCAGTAGCCATCTTGAAAAAGCCTCGGCACGACTATCAACCTTCCGAGGGACTGGCCGTCAGTGATCAGTGATTAGTGCATTTGCACGCGAAAGACCCGCCTCCCTGCCTGTGAGACTGCATATTCATTGGTGCTTTTGGGTAGGAACCGCCCTACTGCCGCTAGCGGTATCTAGGTGTTTATTAGCTGTAAGCATAAGAGTGACAAGCATAGGGGACACGGCAGAGGGGCAGGAGCTGGAGGAAAAACCAATACCAACGCCTGTGAGACGGATGTTGGCGATTTGGGGACTGGGCCGGGCTAAAGCCCTGGGAATCCACATCACGCCAGACCCCACCCCTATCCCAAGATGGAAAGCAGTCTCGGGAATTCACTTCTGGAGCAACCCCAATTCCGTATCAGACACCCGATTCGGAGTGGAACCGCTGGACTTCATTTTATAATAAATACCCCGCCTGTTGCATGAGTCGTTCTCAAAAGCCATTTTTAAAAAGAATTTTGTCACCCTTCAGGCAAAAGCTTTCGAACCTTTGTGTTTTACATCCCAAATCTCAAGAAATATGCCTAAACTTGTAGGCCCAAGGACTTCCCCCAACATTGTTTGCCACAACAATCCTTCAAATGTTATCAATAACCCGGACATGGTGGCATAAGCACGACATGAGATCCTGTTTCCAAATAAAAGCAAATATATCATTCAGATCCAATTACACGTTGGTAATCTGTTTTAAAGATTTGTTTATTTTTATGTGCATGACTTTTATCTGCGTGTATGTATGTGCACCTTCTGCTTGGGGAGGCCAAAAGAAGGTGTCAGATCCCCTGGAACTGGAGTTACTAATGGTTATGAGTTTTCTTAGGGGTACTGGGAACCAAACCCAGGTGCTGTTAAATGAAGAGCCATCTCTCCAGCCCCCAAGACGGTACCTTTTTAAAAAAGATTTATTTGTGAGGGTGGGAGTTGGCAGTAGGAAGGTGGTGCGGGAGAGGTGCCAGGGGAGGACAGACATGGGCTTGTTAGATTTAGGAGACAAGAAAAAGGAAGGAGTTTAGAGTTTAGAAAAAACCAGAGCCAGACCTGCAACCAGCAAAGAAAGTGTTCTTGTATCCAGAGAACACAGTGGAGGAATGAGGGCATCCGCATTGAAGGGAAGGGCAGTCTGGACTTATATAGGAACTCTGTTCAACACAGCTGCAAGAATTAACTTAGTGTCAGGGTCTGGTGTCTTTGAGGGTCTCTCTCCCAGCTTTGTTTTTTCAGACAGGCGTGCTATCTTAAGGCACTAAAGGAGACAAGATGGCTCCCTCAGTACAGGAGTGACCAGCTGAAAAGGCTTGAGCAAGGCCAGGCTGCCAATTTAGGGCCAGTTAGCTACTTTAAGGGATTTAGGCATTCCCCAATGACATTCTATCAGGCGTTCAATCTCTCAGAACTTAAATACAAGCATCTCTGAATCGAGAGATGTGCATACTGGGATCCTAATTCCGGTCTTCTGCCTGAGCAGTAAGCGCTCTTAACCATTAAGTCATCTTTCCAGTCCCTGGTGTATTTTCTGACATCTAATCCCTGTATTTGTCCCTGCCTTTTCCTTTCACTGAACTGTTTGCCAGTGAAGCAGGGCTTCTTCCCCTCCATGAGGATACCTAAGTAACGACAGTGGGACGTCTATCACCCTTCTCATAGGCAATCATTATTACCCATTTGTCTCCATAGAAAATATATATCATGGGAGAAAGAAAGTGGAGAATTAGGGAGGTATGTGGGTGGGTATGCTCAAAGTACAATATACACTCGTATAACATTTTTAAAGTAATTTTTAAAATAACTAACAACAGAAAAAAACAGAAAATATATGGTCATACATATTGTTGGGTAGCTATTTCCTCAGAATGTTTCCATGTTTCTTTGTGGAAGGAGGTAGGAGGCTCATAAGACTCAGCAAACTAAATTTACAAAGCTCATGAACCTTTGAAAGTTCAGAGATTCATAAGGCTACACTCTAAGGTTACAGAAGCAGTAAATAATTGCTAGAGAGAGAAGACTGGTGAGTCATCGATGCTTCTTGCAAGTTGTTCAGGAGCACTAGGAATGCAGCTTTTGTGAGTCATCACCCATACTGGTGTGGGCTTTTTGGTGATGCAGCTGCCTTTGTGTCACCCATGCTCCCAAAAGTAAACTCAATAATCTCATTGGTTCACCAAGCTATATTTCTGTGTAATTGATTCTGTGTGGTCTGTCCTAGTACCCATCTGAGCTGAATAGGTGTTTGTTCATATCTCCCCAGGAAAAGTCACACAATGCATATAGATGACTTTCCTTGTTCATAAAAGGAAGAAGTTTTTGTCCTTATGTTGTAAATGAGGAACTTGGATTAATGAAGCAGAATTCTAAAGTAGCTCTTTAGTATCTTCCACGCACTTTGCCTTGTGAGGACCTTCTCTGGCTCTAACGACTTGTAAAGATGATGTCTCTGTTGTGGCAGAGAAAAGTACATGAAAACTCTTTGTTTTCTTTTTTTTTCTTTTTTTTTTGACTTTTGAGTTTTGTTTTGTTTTGTTTTGTTTGTTTTGTTGAGACAGGCCTCAACTCTCTAGTTCTGGCCTCAAACTCACTATGTAGACCAGGATGACCTCAAAGGGAGATCCACCTATCTCTGCTTCCTGAGTGTTAGGATTGAAGTGTGTATCACTATGCCCAGCCAAAAACTCTATTCCTCACTAGTGTCCCCCCCACAACACCTTCCAAAAGGAAAAAAAATTGAAAAACAGATAAATTTTGTACACGAAAGCGCTTACATATCATAAACACATTTGGTTCCATTTCACTAGCCCATAGCTGTATTAAGCACTGCTATAACTAATCAAGGTCTTTGCTTCAAACTTTATAAAATCTTTACTCAAATAATAGCTAATCCTAACATAAAATAAATCTTTCTCAGATACAGCTTCTTAAACTATGGGCCACAAATTCATACGGGGAACACATAAAGCAGTGTGAGGTGGGTGGGATTTCACAAGAGTAAAGAGTTTCTGAATATGCGGCAACCAAAAATTAATTAAAAAATCAAACATGTAATGACTCCAAAGTGTTTAAGTGCAGTGTTAGCTTTCTCCTGCGTTGCATCATGAGACTTTCCTGCAACTTTGATTCTGAATACACATATGCACTTTGCACTGCTCATGCCATTACACCTGCAACACTGAGGAACAATGCCTGAAATCCTTCTGCTCAGATTAAAGACTGTCGTTGAATGTTATGAATTGAAGCATTTTTACTTGTGACAATAAGCAGTCTTTGTGACAATAACAAACACTGCTACAATAGATGTAAATAATCTCAAGAAGAAAAAAACACAAAGATATTAAGAAATGATTAGACAGTAATGAAAGTTGAGGTTGGAGAGATGGCTCAGCAGCTAAAAGCAATGACTGCTCTTTCAGAGGACCCAGATTCGAATCCCAGCATCTACATGGTGGCTAACAACCATTCATAACTCCAGTTCCAGGGGATCTGATGCCCTCTTCTGACCTCTGGGGGCATTGTACAACACAGGTGCATTCACATGTGCATACTCATACACAGAAAATAAAAATAATAAATAAGCTCCTAGCCTGCACTCCCATCCTCAGACCTCTTGGGGTAAGCCTATAGCGCAGCCCTCCGCGCTTTC